CAAAAGAATTTGTATTTACTGTATTTTATACTGTTTTGCGTTGTTTTATTGTTTTAACTTCGGCATTTATGCCCCTTGTGAGCCGCCCTGAGCCTTCGGGGAGGGCGGGATATAAATTTTAAAAATAAATAAATAAATAAATATAAATAAAGAGCTCTCTCAGCCCCACCGACCTCACAGGGTGTCTGTTGTGGGGAGGGGAAGGGAAGGAGATTGTAAGCCGCTCTGAGACTCCTTTGGGTAGTGAAGGGCAGGGTACAAATCCTATCTCCTCCTCCTCCTCCTCCTTCTAAGTTGATAGAAGAACAAGATATTACCAAAGTGAAGCAGAACACATTGGGTCATGTTTATGTGTGGATAATATCTGTGCTCTTCGAATTTTCTGTTTTGATTTTCCACACGGTATGGTCACCTAACCAAACCAACTTTTTTTCAGATTATGCTTTAAAAATTACTTTAAAAAAGCAGATGCTCTTCCTTTTAGAAACACTAGTGTGTACATGAGTGTTTATGTATACACAAACATGCATGCGTGTACAGCCGGCCAGTGTGGTATAGTGGTTAAAGTGTTGAACTGGGGTCGGGAAGGCCCAGGTTCAAATCTCCATTCAGCCATGGAAATTTGCTGGGTGACGTCGGGCCAGTCACAGGCTGTCAGCCTAACCAGGCTGTTGATGATAGGAGGTTTAGGGGGACATTCATTCAGAGGTTCGCCGTAAGTTAGAAGCAACTTGACAGTTTTTGGTACACACACATCCTCCACTACCAGCTGAAACAGCATCCTGACCTCCTCTAAACGACAGCCCTTCAAATACTTAAAAAGAGTGATCATATCCCCTCTCCAACCTCCTCCAGGCTAAACATTCCTAATCCCCACTGCCTTTCCTCATAAAGCGGATGCCCATTTCGCATTAATGTTCTAAACCAGATGTTATCCATTGTTGGCCTGGTTCTGAGTAAAGCAATACAGGGATGGATGTTTCATACAGCAAATTTTATTTCATTCGTGAGCTGTCTCTGAAGCAATCTGGTGATTTTAAACAGTGCCATGTTCCCCCCCTGCCCTTTTTTGCCACGTGATCTTCCACAAGCTTTTTCTTGAGCGTTTCTTGAGAAGTTGTGCACGATAGCGCTAGACTGATAGAGCACTTCTCAATGCATCTCAATGGTGTCGCTGTAGCACTATAGTGGTCTAGCACTATAGCGCTCAACTTAGAACATTAAAAAAAAAGGTTGAAGCTTGGGGGGAAAGTGTGGCGCTATTGGAAGCACTGCAGACATTTTAAAAAGCTCACTACAGTGATTTGGAAGCGCAAAGAAGAGGTGAAAACGGAAGAAAGCTGTTTACCTCCAGAATGGCTCAGACACACTTTGTTAACCAGATGCAAGTGGCTTTGTATGAAAAGGTAAATAAAATCCGTTAGCAGCTGGTTACTAAAACGGTTGTGTCTGAAATGACACAAAGAAATCCCACAGCAACTGGCTACCAAAACAGATTACCAAGGCCGTCTGGAAGGGATCTTAGTCTCCAAACCCCTAATCATCCTCTTCACTCTCCTCTGTACCTGCTTTAAAGATTCGATGTCCTTTCTATTAAAGGCCTCCAGAACCGGACATAATACTCCAAATGGTGTCTGAACAGGGCAGTATACAGGGATACCGTAACGTCTCCTCTCTGGATGCTATGTCGTTTTTGTTGATGCCGCTGCTCTGGCGCTTCTTGTTTTGCGGCCCGGCTGACTGGTAGTCCTGTGTTTGTATTCTAATCTTTGCACGCTGGGGTGTGTGTGGTGGGTATCTCTCTGTTGTCCCGGTTCAAAGTGACTGAGAGACCTCCTGTGTTGGGTTTAGCAAGTTAAAACACTTCAGTAATTACAGAGTTAACTTTGTGTTGGTCAAAAGGAAGTCACATGTTTATTGCTTCCCCCCCCATCTGTTACTAAGTGAGAAGAGCCCTCAAATCTTGTAGGAGGTCTTAGTAAAACGACCTGACCCTTTAGCTTTGTGACTGGAAATCAGTGCATTGGCTATTTAGCATACTGGGGTCTTTCTTTCTTCCTTTCCTTCTCGGAGAAGAAGGAGACGCCATTCCTTTCCTATAGTACCTTTTGCAGTAAACTTGTAGGAAACTAGCGTTTCTTATTTTGCATCCCGTTTACCTTTTCCCCATGTTTTGTTGTTGTTCAGTCGCACAGTCGAGTCCGACTCTTCGCGACCCCATGGGCCAGATCACGCCAGGCCTTCCGGTCTTCCGCCGTCCTCTGAAGTTTGCTCAACTTCATGTTTGTTGCATCCGTAACACTGTCTAAGCATCTCATCCTTTGCCGTCCCCGTCTTCTTTGACCTTCAGTCTTTCCCAGCATCAGGGTCTTCTCCAGTGTGTGCTCCCTTCTCATTGGGTGGCCAAAGTATTTGAGCTTCAGTTTCCTTATCTGGCCTTCCAGGGAACAGTCAGGGTTGATTTCTTTTAGGATTGACTGATTTGATCTCCTTGCAGTCCAAGGGACTCTCAAGAGTCTTCTCCAGCACCATAGTTCAAAAGAATCTATTCTTCGGTGCTCGGCCTTCCTTATAGTCCAACTCTCGCAGCCATACATGACTACCGGGAATACCATTGCTTTGACCATGCGGACTTTTGTTGTCCCCATGTTGGTTCCTAGTAAAGTTTCTATTTTTCAAACGTACACGTGATCTCAGGCTCTCACGCCTTGCTCTGCTGATTCAATCTCTGCTTAAGTCTATTTTTCTAAGAATCCCTGCACCAAGGCGCTCCCTTTGGAGTCCTGGTTCCCAGCTGCTTCCGCTGGCTGACTTGATGGAAAGGCAGCGCTGGATGTGGCACCCAGCCGGCCCCGTCAACTCCCAGGTGTGGATGCAAGCCGTCAGCTCCTCGTCAGAGTCGTGGAAGCAAAGCCGACAGCCCAGCCAGCGCACACCAGCTTAGGCCCGGGCTGACCTTTTCCCCTCCCGCTGTCTTGTCAACATCAGACTTTTTGAATCTGACAGTAACTCAGGAAGAAAAGGACGCCGGCAGAGCCACGGCCCCAAATTAAATAGAATTAGCCATTTCGTCAGGCTGGCAGTCTCCCCGAACCGGAGCTGGACTGTATAACATTAGAAGCCTGCCCCCCTCCCGGGGGGGGGGAGCACAGACCAAGAACCCAAGTGGCTGTCTGGTCAGCAATCGGAAAGAATCCTTGCCCCTTTCACTCATACACCTTTGATCAGGGTGGGGGGGTAGATTCAGAGCTTTAGACGTGGGCAGCCGTCGCAAGAGAATGCAATAGGGCGCGGAGTTCAGAGGGAACCCAGGAGAAACGAGTTACTGGCAAGATGACTCTACCCGTCTCCATGTTTCCAGACAGCGTCCCATTACCAATCGAAATAAGTCATGCATTCACCCAATCTGTTTTGAATAAAGAAAAGCATCTGAACACTTTTATGGCAAACGGAACAACCGAACTCCACCTTTCGTTGACTGTTCAGCAGTTGACTTAAGAGAGAAGCAAAGTCCGAGTTGTGTTTGAACCCAGGGGTCATTTCGTAGAAAAAGCGGTGCAGGAGCTCATTAGCCTAACTCATCAGCATAACTTATTTGCATATGCCACACCCCCTGGCATCACCAGAAGTGTGTCAGAAGGCAACACCCACCGCTCATGCTCCACTGGATTGCTAGCTATTGGGGGTGGGACATGCAGATCTGTCCTCACAGAGGAGGGAGAGCTTGTACCTGGATAAAACTTGGTCTTATAGGTGCCACTGGACTGTTTTGGACCGGGAGGCCGGGGGGGGCGCTCTGCAACTTACCTGGCTGCTTCTTGTTCTGACTGAGGGCTGCTGAGAGCAGGGGGTGGGGCTTGTTGCATGTGCCCGCCATCTGGAAAATGCCGTCTGTGTAACTGTAAATCGCTCAGAGCCAGCACCAGCAGGATTGAGTGATTAATAAATTCAAATATTATTATTATTATTATTTACTGCCGGAGCTCTGCTCCTGTGCACTCCTGCAGGAAATGACCCCTGCCTGAAACCATAAGTAGGCCCAGAAAGGTCAGTTGGGGGCAGGATTTCCCCCTGCTGGCTAGAGAAAGCAGGGGTTCCCCCGCTCCCACCAGAGGCTAGCAACCAAACCAAACTTGTGGTATTTTACATTTTTTTAAAATAACTTGTTTTATTTTCTATTTTAAACCATCCTGAGTTCTGCAAAGGCGGCTAAAAAAGCGTTTTAATAAATAGTTAGATACGGGACCCGAGGCAGCAGGTGAACAGTAATTAACAGCTTTATTGAACACGAAGTCAGAAGAACCAGAACGAGACAAACAATGGAGCAACAGGCTCCTTTTTAAACTGTCTGGGCTTGGCAAACCACGCCCACATGTCAGATAAGATCCAATCAGAAACTGTACATAAAGACCAATCACTTTGCTTCCCTCCAGAACTTCCCTTGTTCTGATAGGTCGGTTTACAATACCTTGCTTAGATTCAAGCTCATACATTCATACATTCTGTTCCATATATAACATCAATAAATCCTCTTTTCAGCTGGAGACGCCAGGGACTGAACCTGGGACCTTCTGTGTGCCAAGCATTCCACTCTCCCACTGAGCCACCGCCCCTCCCCATGGCATCGCATAGCCCTTCTACAGAGCCCCTGCTTCCTTCTAATCTCAGAATTTCTTGTTATTTGCAGAATCCTACCAAGTGGTGGTGAAAGGCAATGGCTTTTATCACGCAAGGAATCCCGAACAGGTCCTCTGCAGCTTCAAGATCAACAGCACAGTGACACTCAGTAAGTTGGCCCTCAGCCTTAGTCTAGCTGCAGCATTCTGAACAAGCTGCATCCTCCACTCTTCAAGGGTAGCTCCAAACAGAGCACATTGCAGTAGTCCATCTAGATGTAACCAGGGGTCGTTTCGTAGAAAAAGGGCTAGGGGAACTCATTAGCATAACTCATTCGCATATGCCACACCCCCTGACATCAGGGGCCCGGCAGTGGAACTGCAAGGCCGGTGGGAGTGCGAGGAAGCCCCGCCAAGGCCCTCCCTGGCCCCAGGCAGGCAGGGGTGGGGAGAGGTGGGGAGGAAGCAACTTACCCTCCCTCTTCTCCTGCCTCCTGGCTGAATGAGGGCTGGAAGCGGGGCGGCCGGAAGCAGGGGGCGGGGCTTTGTCATGTGCCCCCCACACACACCTCATCCGGGGGAACTGCGATCCCCCCCGAATCGACCTCTGGATGTAACTAAAGTATGGATTACTGTGACTAGGTCTGACTGACTCAAGAATGGACATAGTCGATACACCAGTTGAAGCTGGGCAAAAGCACGACGAACCACCACAGCCGCTGCCAAGCTGTGAACCTGGTTTTTCAAGGGGAATATAATCCTGTCCAAGACAGGACAGATCTCAAGTCCCAGGTCCGCCTTTCTACTGAAGGCTTCTTGTCTTTTCTCCGCCATTGCTCCTTTTCTGCATGTGGGAATCTTTTTTTCTCACAGAGGAGTGCCCCACGCATCTTGAAATCCTGACTGAGCCTCAAATTATATTCCCCAGATTTGGGTTTACCACCTGAGTGAGAATCAAGCCATTGAGATAGATTTGGATAAGAACTGAGGCAGTGAACTTCTACTGAGGCAATCTTATTGTCAAAAGACTGTTAGCACTACCCCCTGTAATGATTTAGGAAATTGGGCTGTATTTACAGTTGCCCTCTCTCCAATCTCCAGAGCTTGTGAAGTTTCTTGTGGAGTGGGGGAAAGGATCTACTGCCTAAATATCTGTATGACAGATGGATGATAAAGGCTGAAAAAAATTGGCTATTCTGGCTGTGGTTATCGGCCTGCTTCCTGTCTGAATAGGGCAGCTTCTCGACTCCCCTTTTCTTATCTGGCATTCTGGGAGTGCAGTTCTGAGGGGATTTTTGCCTCTCAGGTTCCCTGGTCTCTAGAGGAAGGTCAGTAAGGACAAAAAAGGGAAAAAAGACTGAACCTAAAACCTAGAAAGAGGGCCAACTCTTAAAATCTAATTATGAAACCTAAAAATGTATATGTATAATTTTTAGGTTTCATAATTAGATTTTAAGAATTGGCCCTCTTCTATTCTTGACTAACCTTTATAAGTTCTGAACTCTAGAGGAAGGTCTCCCTCAAGGTCTGTGAAGGCCAGTCTAAAAGAGGCATTGAGGAGTCATGGTTGGGTCGCTGGTCTTTTTAGTCTTTGCTAAACAGCAGCTGTGGGGGTGGAGGGGAGAGCTGGGTTGGGGTCAAGGCCGTGGACGGCAATGCTCCGTCTAAGATTTGGATCTTTGTGAGCAAAAGTTCTGCTGTGTGAGCTGCTGGCATTAGAGTTGTGAGCGAGCGATTTGGCTACTGCATTAAATCAGTTTGCTCTGGAGCCCTCCTTCCTGAGCTGAGACAAACAATGTGTGAGCCGGAGGCTAAAAAACCGTGAGCTAGCTCACACCAGCTCAGCTTAGAGGGAACACTGGTGGGCGGGGTGGGGGGGGAGGGAGTGTTGAATCCTTTCCCTCCTTGTCAACACATGAAACTGCCTTACCCTTGGTCTGCGCAGATGGGCAGTGTCTCTCCAGAGTCTCAGGCTGAACTATTTCACATCTCCTACTGCCTCATCTTTTTTAACTGGAGATGCCCGGGATTGAACCTGGGACCTCCTGCATGCCAAGCAGATGCTCGATCTCTTCCTCATCTCCTGTTTTTGGCATTTCTTGGTGGTCGGTTGTGTGTTGGGAACAATGCCCCCTCTAAACTGTGAAGTCTTGTGAGCAAAAATTCTACTTTGTGAGCTACTGGCCTTAAAATTGCGATTTGGCTGCTGTATAAATTAGTTTGCTCTGGAGCCACCCTTCCTGAGCTGAGACAAAAACGTGTGAGCCGGAGGCTAAAAAACTGTGAGCCAGCTCACACTGACTCAGCTTAGAGGGAACACTGGTTGGGAAACATGCACCAGTGGAAAGGGTCAAGCTTCTCACCCATACAGTCCCCCCCCCGGTGCTACTGAAGCAATGTTGAAAGACATGGGCGAGCTAGTCACTGGTCTTCACCTTCTCTTCTAGATTGTCCTTTGTGTTGTTTCCCCTGGGTTTCCAGTTTTGTTCAGTGTGTACAAAGCAATGACCAATTCTTGGTTTCTTTCCATCAGATGAAAAGCCAACCGTTGTTCAAGACACATACTTGCTGTGCCCTGCTCCTGTACTGGAAGATGTCGGGCAGTAAGTAGACCGCGTTTCCGCATTTAGGCTCCAAGCTGAGAGTGGTGCGCAGGGCTTCCCCCCAGGTAGCGCAGCTAACGTAGAACCTGTTGACACTCTGTGGCAGAAACAGCCGACAGCCCTTTTTCCTGCAGAAGCAACAGGCTTGTCCTTCAGCGTGCTTCCACGGACAATTCCTGCATAATTCCGCAATCCGGGTTTCTCCCCAGAACTTTGAAGTCTGAATGTTCTGATCTTTTTAGAGAGCAACACAGATTTAGAAGAGGGTTGGGGTCATGGCTGCTGTAACGTCTGGTTCGACCCTCAGCCAAGAGCCTGTTGAGTCCCCACCAGGACTCGGAGGGTTGGCACAGCAGTAGTCCTTCGGGGGGGGGGAGGTTGGTATCGGCAGGACCTCACCCCCACAGTTTCAAGAGACAACCCAGCTCTGCTTGGCCAGCTTGAATGGGCAATGGCACAGATTCCTGAGCTTATAACTTCCGAGGCGTAGAGGGCAGCTTCCTTGGGAGTGGGACCCCCAGAGCGACGGCGACGCATGGGCGGAGGGGGACAGCGGTCCTGACGCTGTGTTTCTCTTTCTGCCCCTGCTCCAGGGTGGTTTACCTGCAAGTCAGCATGAACAGCGGCCTGACGTTTGTCAGCAGCTCTGTCAGCATCACCAGCACACGCTGCGTAAGTATGCGCCCGCTGCAGTGGGAGGAAGCCACTGCGTGGCTACTTCAAGGGCAGGCTGGGGGAGAGGGAGGACAAAACCACAGTAGGGAGATCTCACAAGACAGCCTCTTGTCCCGGCTGGAGGCCGAGGGTTCTCTCCCTCCCCTGCTACCGAAAGTCTGGCCTAGAGATGTAAAATTTCCAGAAATTTTGAAGCTCGGAAAAAAACCCAATTTTTTTGGGGGGGAAACGGAAATTTTCGGAAAAATTGAAAAAAATGCTACATTAGCATTTCTTTTGTCTTTTCTAGTTTGAAAGTCATTTTTACTTGGCATGAAATGATCACAACTAGCATATTAAAAATATAGTGTATCCAAACAATTATTACAGAATACCACCCACATGCAAAAACAAAACTGACACTTTTTTATTTTCTTCTGACAGTCGCACCTCCTAAAGGAAGAAATGCATCTTGTTCTTTCATTGGAGAGTTCAGTGTGTAACCTAGGACTTGCTTGTCCTCAGTGCACAGAAATTACATCAATCTGATACCATATATATATATTTTAGAAATGTTTTGGAAATATCTGAACACTTGGTCTTAAAATATTTTATTCGTCATGTTAAAATAAAACGTCCCATAATCAATTTTTTTTCTTTTCTTTTTTCAATTTTTCCAATTTTTCGGAAAAAAACAAAAAAGGCTTCAGGAAAAAAATGGGGAAAAAAACGTTTTTTCCCCGAATTTTTCCGTTTTTTTCCCGGGCCTTCACATCTCTAGTCTGGCCATCTATTGGTGGGGGGGGGGCGGGTAGGGTGTCCGGGGTACCTTGGCCCAGGTGTTCCTTTCTGGTGGTGGATCCCGCATGCAGACATTCTGGGAGTTCGCAGCGAAGAGTTTCCCGAATCATAGCAAACCTGTTTGCAAATGTCGGTGTTGCCTTATCCGGTAACTCTCACAGGATCTCATGATTTTTCCCTTTCTTTTGGCAGCAGCCTCCTGTTGCCTTTCCCCTCTCTTCTTGCCTGGGAATAGCCTCCTTGGCTGTTTCCCCCTGCTGGCCTTGCTCTTGCCCCGGACACAGTAAGTGTGCCGCTCTGCTCTGCTCTGTTCTCTTCTTGCTTTGGGGTCCTCTCTGTCTTGGGGCCCTCTAGCTCAGCCCCTCCCTGGAGCTTCTCTTGAAGACAGCTGAATGCTTTGTCACTTTGGGCATTCAAAGGGCAATCCAAATGAGACGGGGGCTGTGCGGCGGTCGCCCATATTGGCAGGCAAACTCCCCAGAGACGCTCTCTGTGCATTGGTGCTCTCTGTGCTAGTGTGTATGCGTGTGTGCGAGAACACCCGGGAGCTCACAATACTGAATCAGGCCCTTGGTCCATCAAGGTTGGTATTGTCTGCTCAAACTGGCAGCCGCTCTCCAGGTCTGAGGCAGAGGTCTTTCACATCATCTACTGCCTGGTCCTTTTTAACTGGAGATGCTGGGGACTGAACCTGGGACCTTCTGCATACCAAGCAGATACTCTGCCACTGAGCCACAGACCCCTCCCGAAAACGGGACTCAGTAAGAATGCTGTTATTCATATTGTACACTTGAATGTGCCTTATCCTGAGTCATGTCCTCAGTCTATCAAGGTCAGTCTTGTCTAATCAGACTGGCAGTGACTGTTCAAGGTCTCAGGCAGAGGTCTTTCCCATCACCTACTGCCTGATCTTTTCAGCTGGAAATGTCAGGGATTGAACCTGGGACCTTCAGCATGCAAAGCAGATGCTCTGCCACTGAGCCACGGCCCTTCCTCACTGCCATGTGGCTGCTAACACAGTTAACCTGCAAAGGCAGCACACATCTGGGCTGGGACTCAACTAAGAGCCCTGGAACGGCTGTGTTCCTTTCCTGCAGCTCCAACTCAAGAAGTCTTGAGAGAACCCCGAAAAAGCCAAGACCTTGGAACTAGGGGGTGTGCACCTGTCATAAACAGAGCCAAAAAAATACCCGAAAAATACCTTATCAGTATTTTCTGGATATATTTTCAGCTGGTTAGCGAGTGGGCTACTTATCCAGCTCTCCAAAAATTGCTGACTCAAAAAATCCTGAAAATATTCGGGATTTTTCGGGACCTCAGGATAGCCACAGTTAAAGGGCATTTTAAGTCCTCTCAGTCCCTTTAAATGCCTTCAGAGTGACCTCTCATTTTGGAGAAGGCATTTAAAGGGTCTGCAATCACTTTAAATGCCTTTCCCACCTCCATTGGATACAATGATGGGGCACCTTCTTTGGGGGCCCATAAAATTTGGACCCCCTGATCCAATCTTTTTGAAACTTTGGGGGGGGGAGCAACAGCAGCTATGCTGCAAATCTGGAGCCTCTACCTTAAAAAAAAGCCTCCCCAGAGCCCTCCAGATTGATTCTCCATTATAGCCTATGGGGACCATTGATTTTTAATGGTCCGCATAGGGTACAGTGGAGCCAGAAAAAATTGGCAATCCCAAATAGTTACCGAATCCAAATACCATACTGGTATTGGGATTTTGGGATATTTTTTCGGGTTCAGTGTACCCGACTCCCAAAAATACTGGGGTTTTTTGCACACCCCTACTTGGAACTTTTAACTGAGGATGCAGCCCTTGAGATCTCTGATCATGTGAACATACACAGATGCAGGCACATCCATTTCCTGGCCATTGTCCCCCCCAGTGTGACTGGCCAGATACATGCATCCTCTTGGCTCCTTTTTCAGTCCTCACTGGAGCTTGGAAGCCCACTCCACCTGGGAAAGTTCATTTTTGGGTCTACCCGCTCTGGCAGAGAGCCCTGCCTACTGTGCCCTGTGTTTTCCTGGCTTCACCACACCGCCAGAGAGCCCTGGTGGAGAGGCCTCTGAAATGACTTGTGGCAACATTGACTTCATTGCCAAACTCTGGGTGCGGCCTGGAAATCTCCCAGAATTGCAGCTGACCATCTCCAGGCAGCAGAGATCACTCGCCCCTGGAGGAAACGGCTGCTTAGGAGGGCGGACGCTCTAGCGTTATAACCTTCCAAGGTCCCTGCCCTCCCCGTGCTCTGCCTTCCAATCTGCAGGGATTTTCTAACCCAGAGTTCGCGACTCTACATTGTTAACTCAGAAATACGTCTGTTTTGCTTGCAGTTCAGCGGGACGATCCTCTTCATCGTGCTTTTAATTCTCTTCCTGCTCGTGGCCTTTGCTCTTCTCTGGTGGTTCTGGCCTCTCTGCTGTACCTTGGTAAGCGTGGGATTCGGTTTGGCTGGTGGGGAGGTTTAAAACACAGGAGGAGGGCAGAGACAAACAGCACGGGCCAGCAAACGGGGGGGGGGGGAAGAATGCTTGAATCCCCAACCTTCCTGATCAGCTGGTTGCTTGTCGTAGCAGCCTGGCACAGAAGAGCAAAGGTCCGATTTCTACCTGTGAGCCTGCGGTTGGAAAAGCCTGCTAGCTCTCGGACTGGTTTGCAGCAAATAATCTTTATCAATATATTTAAAACATTTGTTGGCTGCCTTCCTACCTTGCAGAACTCAGGCCCGGCCTACCGCTTCAATAAAACAGCAATCACGAAAAACACATAAGATGCCACCATTTAGTCTCCAGATAGGATGGCCAATAAATAAAAACTGAATTAGTCAAAGGCATTCCGAAATGGAAGCCATGATATTTCAGGTCCACCCTGCTGATTCCAACCTATAAAAAGGCTGTTGAAGGACAGGCTGTTAGTTTCTTACTCTGTTGGCGACTTCAGAGTTAGATCCAAGAGACGGACGGGTGGAAGAGTTGGCGACTTGAGTTGACACTTAACTGTGGTTTAGATCATCTATGAATGAACTCGGGATGGGGGGGCTGTCACTGTCAGCTTGATCTCTCATTTATTTCTAAAATGGGGGGAAGGCACTAGCCTTCTTCATAGAAGCTGCAAAAACAAGGACATGTGGTTGCCGGGCCTTCACAGGGGCAGAGTCGATAGGGACTGGCTGAGAAAATGGTGTCCTGGTTCCTATTCAGCAGCAGGAGCAGAGGTCATTTCGGGGGGGATCGCGGGGGATCGCAGTTCCCCCAGGTGAGGTGCGGGGGGCGGGGCACATGACGAAACCCCACCCCCTGCTTCCGGCTGCCCCGCTTCCGGCCCTCATTCAGCCAGGAGGAGTCAGGAGAAGAGGGAGGGTAAGTTGCTTCCTCTCCCCCCCCCTGCTTGCCTGGGGCCAGGGAGGGCCTTGGCGGGGCTTCCTTGCACTCCCGCCGGCCTTGCAGGTCCACTGCCAGGCCTTATGATGTCAGGGTGTATGGCATATGTTAATGAGTTATGCTAATGAGTTCCCCTAGCTCCTTTTCTACGAAATGACCCCTGAGCAGGAGGATTCTTCCGGTGGGTTCCCCCACGAGCTCCTGGGCAGGGGCTTCGTCTCGTGTCTTTGTGGAGGCTGACACATGACCCCGCTTGGAATCAGCAGGGGCCGGAGAGTGGGTCTCTGAGCCAGGAGCCGACCCCCCCCAGGACTTGCTCTTGCCCATGAGTTCAGAGGAGAAGGCCCTTCTTTGCTCAGGGCGGGGTTAGAAAAATATGCTGGGCGGGACTTCAGCGGGTGCGCGTTGAAAAGCGAGTTGTTTGTCCCATGTCGTGCAGTGGACAGAGTCACAGTGACCAACCACAGCTCTTGGACGAGTGCAGGAAGATGGAATGCCCTTGCTTTTTTGTAAACTGCTTTGAGCAAGGAGGTGAAACAGTACAGGAACAGGATGTTCGTGATGGCCATACTCTTTCTAGGTATGCACTTACAATTTGGAGCTGCGGTGGCTCAAGTGGTTAAGATGCTGAACTGCAGGCTGTGGAAGGTCGGTAGTTCAGCAGTTCGAGACCCAGGTGCCACATGACGGAGTGAGCTCCCGACTCTAGTTCCAGCTCCTGCCAACCTAGCAGTTCGAAAGCAAGAAATTGCAAGTAGATAAATAAGTACCACTTCGGTGGGAAGGTAACAGCGTTCCGTGCGCCTTGGTGTTTAGTCATGCCGGCCACATGACCACGGAAACGTCTTCGGACAGCGCTGGCTCTTCGGCTTGGAAATGGAGATGAGCACCGCAACCCTAGAGTTGGACTCGACTGGCTTTCGAGCAAGGGAACCTTTACCTTTACCTTTTACAAGGTACTTTAGTGATGGATGCAAGTGGATTTTGCCGTCTCCTGCAGTAATATCCCGTTGCAAAGTGCATTGGAAGTGGATTATTCAGTGAGTGTGTGAAAGTACCACTAAGGCAAGCCATCCTCTCTCACATCAAGCTCTACCTAGGTGGAGTTCAGTTCACTTCCCATGTCACATTAACCGCCACCGAATGGAACAGGGCCCAGAATGTAATGAGTTTGCTAAGAGTCCCCCCACACACACACACAAGAAGCCAGCTCTGTGGCCTTTATTCTTGCAAATTCTCACTCTGCTGAAGGCAGGGGAAGCAGGCAAGCCGTGATGGCTGTGTGTGTCTTTCAGGTCATCAAGGAGCCCCCGCCTCCCCCACCCCCGGAGCCGGTAAGTCTTTTGGAGTGTGTGTGTGGTGCGTTCTGGGAAGGAGGAGGGTCCCTGAGGAGCTGAACTGGGGCAGGGGAGGAGCAGTCTCCATCTTGAAGGGAAGTTCCATTAGGTGGCCTTTTTTTCGAACTTGCTCCCCCACTTGCATGCTTCGTTTGAAAAAGTTTTCGTATTCCAGCGAATTTGGTCCTAATAAGAGACGCTAGACCACTACAGTTATGGGATCCCGCACTCCCCAGTATACCAGCACGGTTACCCGCAGTTTTGCTTAGCTACACGCAAGGGTCATTTCCTGCAGGAGCGCACGGGAGTGGAGCTCTGGCAGTAAAGAGCCCAGGGGGCGGGCACATGCAACGAGCCCCACCCCCTGCTCCCAGCAGCCCTCAGTCAGAGCAAGAAGCAGCCAGGTAAGTTGCAGAGCTTCCCCCCGCCCCATGGTCCAAAACAGTCCAGTGGCACCTTTAAGACCAAGTTTTATTCAGGTGCAAGCTCTCCCTCCTCTGTGAGGACAGATCTGCACACTCCCCCCCCTTACCCAATAGCTAGCAATCCAAAACAGTCCAGTGGAGGCTGAGCGGTGGGTGTTGCCTTCTGACACAATTCCGGTGATGTCAGGGGGTGTGGCATATGCAAATAATCTATGCTAATGAGTTATGCTAATGAACTCCTGCCCCTCTTTTTCTACAAAATGAACCCTGGCTACATGAATAGATTTCCTCACTTTAGGATCCTGCTGGGTCCTTTGTTTCTCTTTGGTCTCCCAAGAACTGATTGTATCCCAGAGGGAGTCCATATCCTGTGTCCGTGGCTTATATTATCTGTCAAGCAATTAGTATGCATTTTTGGTATTGTATCGGTCCCCTTGCACATATTTATAATGGAAACAGAAAGACTACTGCACCGTGTGGTTCCTCCCTCAGTACTGGGGCCGGCCCAAGTTTTTTCCGGTGACCTAAGCATCTGTCGCTCAGCCTGTGTGCATCCAATGTGCCAAAGGGATTCCCATCTGCACTGAGAGCACGGCCCGTTTGCTTTTGCAGATAATGCTTCCCGCCACGCAGTGCTTGTTGTGGGAATGCAACTGTAGCACTTGTCAGTCTAAACTAACCCTGTATAAAGTGTTACCTGCACCTGTTCCCACCCCCTTTAGGTTCGTAATGGTCTGGTGAGTGCCCCTTACCAAGGCGGGGGTAGAATGTTAAAAGTTAGCTGGGATGCACCACAAGGTTATTTAAACATTTCATTTGGACTTATCAAGGCTAAAAGACAAAACAAGGAATACAAAACAGAGTACTTACTTCCTGAAAAAAGATAGTCAGTGGCAGGGGTCATTTCGTAGAAAAAGAGGTGCGGGAGCTCATTAGCATAACTCATTAGCATATGCCACACCCCCTGGCATCACCGTTAGTGTGTCAGAAGGCAACACCCACCGCTCAGGCTCCACCGGACTGTTTTGGATTGCTAGCTATTTGGGGGGGGGATGCGCAGATCTGTCCTTGCAGAGGAGGGAGAGCTTGTACCTGAATAAAACTTGGTTTGTGAGGGCAGATCTGTAGGTTTGTTCCCCCCCCCCAAATAGCTAGCAATCCAAAACAGTCCAGTGGAGCCTGAGTGGTGGGTATTTCCTTCCGACACCCTTCCGGTGGTGTCAGGGGGTGTGGCATATGCAAATAAGTTATGCTAATGAGTTATGCTAATGAGCTCCTACACCTCTTTTTCTACTAAATGACCCCTGACCATTGTAAACAGGAGTCAAGAGGTGCAGTGGGAGAACTGGCTTCAGTTCAACCCTGAAACTCCCTGGTGAAGCATCCGTGGAATGTCTTGCTCCTTAAGATGAATTCTCCCGCTGCCCCAGTTGTCTCTTCCTTTACTGTTCCGTCGCTTGTGCCGTCCTCCTTTTGTTGCCGTGTCCTATGACGTACCCTGCAGTCCTTCGAGGAACCTGGTTATGGGAGGGACTTGTTGGTGACCTGCCCCCAGGGCACGTTCCGCTGTTCCCTCTAAGCTGTGGAGTCTTGGTGAGCAAAAATTCTACTCTGTAAGCTACTGTTGGCATTAAACCTGTGAGCCAGCCATTTGGCTCCTGCATCAATTAGTTTGATCTGGAGCCCTCCTTCCTGAGCCGAGACAAAAATGTGTGAGCCAGAGCAATGTTCCCTCTAAGCTGTGGAATCTTGTGAGCAAAAATTCTACTTTGCGAGCGACTGGCATTAACGTTGCGAGCGAGCAATTTGGCTGCTGCATAAATTAGTCTGCTCTGGAGCCATCCTTCCTGAGCTAAGACAAAAATGTGTGAGCCGGAGGCTAAAAATCTGTGAGCTAGCTCACACCAACTCAGCTTAGAGAGAACTATGAGACAGAGGCTAAAAAACTGTGAGCTAGCTTACACTAACTCAGCTTAGAGGGAACACTGGTTCCCACCAGCAGCACGGACTCGGCAGTGTTTGTTTGGTTCCCTTTCGGCTGGCTTGCTGTGGGCGACAGGGTACAACCACGGCCCCGGAGAGCAGAGCGGGACATGGGCGAGTCTACCAGTTAGCCCTGGTACGCTCCCCTCTTTCTAGGCATTCAGAGGTGGTTTGTCACTGCTGGCCTCTGCATAGCCACCTGTCAGCTAAGCTGCCATGAGGAGGGAGAGACATTCTACTTGTTATGCATTCCTTCCCATGCGCTTAATTGCTTCACAGCTGCAACGCTTATCTGTAAAGATGTACTGGAGGAGTGTGGTGTCTACCTTTCGTGGGATCGTTCTGGTTCCCCGCTTTGCTACCGTTAGAGACTCTTTCCGTCTCCCGCGCGTGGGAGCCCATCTAATTGGGTATTGCTGGGGGGGTGCATACAAAGGCCCTATATCCTATTATGTGCATAGATAGCCCACCATTCCTAACAGTGTTCATGTTATTGCATCTATGGCTTTTCAATAAAAGTAAAACCTTCCTAAAAGCGTGCACTTCATTGTTTTGCTGTGGATCCTGACTCCCATCCAAATACTACCCCTGCATAGCTTCCATGATCTGGCGAGACTGGGCCAACCTTGGCAATCGAGTTCAGGGCACGAAGCATATAGACAGCGTGTAGGAAAAAAAGTGGTTCAATTTGAGCATTGATTGCTTTGCATTCTAGCAACGCAGCCAGACATCTGGTGGTATAATGCGCAGCGCGTCTCCGTTTCGCTCCTCAGCGGCTAGAGGGGATACTGTCGCTTTCTGTGCATTCGACTGCAGAGACACACGGCCGTCACTGAACGGGCGTGGGGGGCCGCTTCTTCCTCTCCCCCCAGCTGGGTGGACAAGAGGCTTCTGTGGGCTGCCAGATGAGCAGCGCCACCGGGCAAAGCCAAGATTTCAGACGTCTGCTTGTTGACCGAGCCCCAAACTGTTTGCTCTAGAAAACATCTCTCCCCCCCCCCATATCTGCCCCACAGGAGTCAGATGACGAAGACGGGTTTCCAAAGAAGAAATGGCCAACGGTGGATGCGTCGTACTATGGCGGGAGAGGCGTCGGGGGCATCAAGAGAATGGAGGTCAGTTGTTTGGCAGGTATTTCATCCATGGATTGGCCTTTACCCTTTAGGAGGTGCGCACTGGCAAACACTGGCGCTGCTTACAGGCACTTCCAGTAAATCAAAATTAACACATCTGCAGCTGCCAAGACTGATGCCAGGCGAGACAAAGTCACTAGACATGGCCCGCATTCGGGGGGGGGGGGCTGCTATACTGTCAGTTCATTTGCATAGTGGTTTAGGGTTTTATGTAAGCAGTTGTTGTTGGTGGGAAAAGGGGGTCAAGTCACTGCCGACTTGCAGCGACCCCGTAGGGCAGGGGTGTCAAACGTATGGCCCCAGGGGCCGGAACTGGCCTGCCCACAGCTCTTATCCGGCCTGCGAGTGACTGGTGCGAGGGAGGGAGGGAGGGCAGGAGGCTGCTAGGGGGCACACAGACGCACACGGTGAGGTGTGTGTGTGGTCGAAGCTGTCGAGAAACGAAAGGAAATGACTAGGGGGCGGGTATGGTATCCCTTGGGGGAGGGAAACTAGTCTTTCATATGATTAAATACATTTACGGGGGCTTTTGTGGACTCCTCAGCAAAAGAATTGTTTTTACTCCTAGGAATCAATTGCTTTTGTTTGTATTATGAGTAAAAAATAATATTGTTAACTGGGTTTGACTGTGTCATTTATAAAGTTTGTATCTCCAGTAGCTGACGTTACATTTTACGGCAGATCTGGCTTGGATCGACAAAGTAGCATTTATGTCAGATCCGGCCCTCGTAACAAATGAGTTTGACACCTCCGCTGTAAGGTTTTCCAGGCAAGAGACGAGTATAATAATAATGAATAATGCTTTCGATTTATTAATCGCTTTCCCCACAAGTGGGCTCAAAGTGATTTACAGTTACTCTTTAGACAGGGGACTAACAATGTTTCATAGGGGATAGGGAAGACAACATATAGTTCATTTAAATTGCACACGCCGTAACTGCCCTGTGGAAACGTTTCTGGCTTGGCTCAGTCATTTTCCAAAAGGCTGCGTTTCGACCGGCTTGATGACGTTGGGGCTTTCAGGACCCATATGTCATGTCGCCACACTGCCACCGCCTGGCCGGAGCATCCCACTGCAGGGATTTTTCTTGTAGCCGAGTAGATTCTTCCGCCTTCCGGATCCTGGACCAGGACATCCCCAACCGACAGCTAACACCTTCCCAGCGGGGGGAGTCGGTGTGCCCACCCTCTCTAAGGAGTGGTTCCCATTTTATTTACTCGCCAAGGCTTTCGAATCGCTGGGTGGACAATGAGCTGGGGACAACAGGCTGGCTGCTCACACCAGTGCGGGGCTCGAACTGACACAGTTCGGATGTTAAGGCAGTGGGATATACCCACTGTGCCACCGCTCCCCTTGGTTTGTCTTTGCCTGCCTCTGGGTGGCAGCCCTGAACTTCCTCGGTGGTCTCCCATCCGAGTACTCAACAGGGCAGACCCCGCTTAGCTTCTGAGATATGACGAGATCAGGCCCACCCAGGTCAGGGCGTGTAAGCCGTCGCCAGACATATTTTAAATAACAAGATGTCAGACTTCCTGGCCAAGTGACTCTCAAGCACACTGTCTTTGGCAGTGAAAGGCTTTATTGAGGATTGAACGAGTTCCAGGCATGAACAGTACTGTGTCAGTTCTGAAGCTTTTTTGGCGGATACATACATCGATATAGAAGGTTCAAACTGTAACCCCTCCTAAGGCCCACACGTACGTCACGTTGTACAGCCCGGCTTCTGTGTCTCTACCCCCCTTCTCATGGGAATATATGATCCCGTTATCTACTACACAAGCTGGCACTAGAAGCTTCAAGGACGTCTCCCTATGAACTGGGGAGAGGCGCATCTTCAGGGAGAAGTTCCGCCGTCTAAGATAGAGCACTCACACACGCCGCACTCACTCCCCCCACCCAAGGCATCCCCCTCCCCCAGCGTCGATGGCAAACTGTGGCTGCGGTCACACGGAGCATTAGCCACGCTACAGAGACGGAAGATAGGTGGATTTTCCAGGCACGATCACACTGCCACATCTGGAAAGCGTAGAGCTCCCGTAGCTCACCCGAGGCTTCCTGTCGAAGATCCGGGGCAAAAAACTAGTACCTCCAAGGTACTAGTTTCCGGAAACCACGGGGCAAGGGCGGGCGTCTGATCACATTTCCGGGGGCATCCGGCGCCCGCCCATGTCCCCTCGCAAACAGGCCATTTTTTCCCGCAAGTCTCCACGGATGCGCACAAGCACCCAACGGAGCATGCGCACACTTCAGTTTAAAAAAGTAAAAACAACAACAACAACCCCGTTTGCCGCGCCGCCCCGCTTCTTTGCCTGTCGTGTGATCGGCACCTCCCCCCTAGCCACGGGACCTCGACGGGACCTCAACCGGATGTCTGATCGCGCAGTCGCGCGTTAGTTTGCCCCGGGGCAAACAGCCACGCTTCCCTCCTGCATTTTCTAGCCCGTGTGACCGGGGCCTGTGTTAAGCAAAGTGAAGCAAGGTTTGACACAAGGGTTTAGGAAGTCTGAGGAGTGGTAATGTTAGGCCGCGATCACACCCACTAAATAATGCATGCTGGATCCACTTTCGATGTACTTTCCAACTGGATTTTGCCAGTTCGCATAGTAAAATCCAGTTGGAAAGAACACTGAAAGTGGATTGGAAGTGGATTATTTAGTGTGTGGTGTGTGTGAATCACAGCCTTCGCCTGCGCGGTTGGGCAGAGGGAACCTGACTTGTGTGTTTGAATACGTTTAGGTGAGATGGGGGGACAGAGGGTCAACAGAGGAAGGGGCAAAGCTGGAGAAGCCCAAGAATGCCGTCATCAAGTTGCCGGAAGAAGAATTTGAGCCGTGGGAGCCCAAGCCAAAGAGACCTCATGCGCGGAAGTTGCCTTCCCAGAGGAGATGGTACACCCCCATTAAGGTAACGCCTTGTGTTTGGCAAAGGGTTTTGATGCTTTTTTTGGAATTTAATATTTTTTTATTATTAAATGAATATAAAACAATTGATACAAACAGAGAATCCCAAATGTTACAAGCTATGTAACATTAATAATATTCTTGGTATTTTATTCAGTAAATCTGTCTAAAACTTAACTGCTTAAAACTCTTAACATGTTTTCTAATAATACAGTTGGGTTAGCAACCAATGCTCCCTCTAAGCTGTGAAGTCTTGTGAGCAAAATTTCTACTTTGTGAGCGACAGGCATTAAAGTTCTGAGCAAGCAATTTGGCTACTGCATAAATTAGTTTGTTCTGGTGCCATCCTTCCTGAGCTAAGACAAAAATGTGTGAGCCGGAGACTAAAAAAACTGAGCTAGCTCACACTAACTCAGCTTAGAGGGAACACTGTTAGCAACTGTCTTATATAAATGAAAGGATCTGAGTTCAACTAGCTAGTATTTACTAACAAAAATTAAAACATGCTCCAAGTCTGGGGCTTACAAAATAAACACTTCAGATGAAACTAAGTGCGCAAGAACATTTCTGTTCCGTGCCGTGTAACTTGTGGGGTTTTTTTTGACAAAAGTTGATTGATAGTTTTCGTGTTCAAGTTGGCAGAGTTGAGGGGGAAATGAGGCCTCCATTTCTAGAACTGAACAGTAGCTGTGCCGTGGCCTTTCTTCACAGTGAGTGTGTGGAGCGTGAAAGGCTGTGCACATCGTGGACTTTGAAGCAGAACTGGTTGGAATAGGCATCGATAAGCATTGGGCGTTGAGCTCGGTTTGAGTCCAGTGGCGCCTTAAAGTTCAACAAGGTCTCCAAGGGTATAAGCTTCCAAGGGTCAAAGCCCCCTTCATAGAAAGCCTGAAGACCACCCAGTCCAGCCCGCTGCACCGTGCAGGATAAGCTAAAGTATCCCTGACAAATAACGATGCGATTTCCACCTAAACACCCCCAAGGAGCGTGAACCCAACACATTCCTGGGCCACTGATTCTACCACTGAGCTGACCTTATTGTTAAAAAGGTTTTCCTAATGTCTTGCCACCCGTAATTTAAACCCATTATTGCGAGTTCTATCCCCCCCACTGGCAACCGAAACAGCCCCCTCCCCTCCTCCAGATGATAGCCGTTTCAGTACTGAAAAAAGAGTAATCGTACCCCCCCTCTTCGTCAGATACAAGTTGGAATGGCGATCCCTGGGCCCTTATATCTGTCAGAAAGAGGGAGGAGTCTTCCGAAGAAGGGAGTCGGGACACAAAGGTGTACAGTGCAAAATGTACAGGGGAGAAATGCTTGGGGGAAGAAAATTAGCCTCTGTAGTGAGATAAGACTCCTATATTCCTGTTTGGCCCCTCCGGGGGGAGGTTCCATTGTTCTGAATTTGTGGATGCACTCAAATTCAGCAGTCTCACATTGTGCTCTCCCCTTGAAGCTTCTCTGTCCATGAATGAAATCAGCACTCTCGTGTTGTAATCTCCTCTTGGAGCTTCTCTGTTTGAGGACTGCCATTCTTAGATCTTGGCTTGATTTGTTTTTTGTTTTTTATAGAGCTTCTGGAATATTTTAAGTCTGTCAGAGAATGCAAGGCAGAGCTGATCATTTGTAGGTCATTGACAGGTAATGGGCATAAAGGGGCAAAGGTGAAATGTCCCCCCCCTTGTTTGGGCACCTCCGGCTGTCAGTGAGTTGGTGGTCTCCTTTAGGCAAAGGGCATCATAGAATTGCTTTGCTACCGTACTGAGAATGTCAGAATTCATTTGGTTTATCACGGGCTGTTTTGATGTACACAATCATTTTCATGGCATCTGACATCTAATACCAAATCCATACTCACAAGGATTTTAGTCAGCTTCCATTTTTGAAAGCAGGTTTTTTTTGGCTGCCTTGGCTGTTTGAAGATCTTTGTAAGTAGCCACAGTATCGACGCTGTTTGGTCAGGCTGAAGGTGCTCACACTGGGCGGTAGTGTAGTGCAACACACACACAGACAATGTTGGGTCCTGTCAAAAGCAGCTGCTTATATAAGAGAACATAAGAGAACATAAGAGACGCCAATGTTGGATCAGGCCAAAGGCCCATCCAGTCCAACACTCTGTGTCACACAGTGGCCAGAAATACCAGTGCCATCAGGAGGTCCAGCAGTGGGGCCAGGACATTAGAAGCCCTCCCACTGTTGACCCCCCCCCAAGCACCAAGAAGACAGAGCATCACTTGCCCCAGAGCCCCTAGCTATACCTTGTGGCTAATAGCCACTGATGGACCTCTGCTCCATATGCTTATCTAATTCCCTTTTGAAGCCGTCCATGCTTGTAGCTGCCACCACTTCCTGTGGCAGTGAATTCCATGTGTTAATCACTCTTTGGGTGAAGAAGTACTTCCTTTTATCCGTTCTAACCCGACCGCTCTGCAGTTTCATGGAGTGCCCACGAGTTCTTGTATTGTGAGAAAGGGAGAAAAGTACCTCTTTCTTTACCTGCTCTTTCCCATGCATAATCTTATAAACCTCGATCATGTCACCCCTCAGTCGTCTTTTCTCCAAGCTAAAGAGCCCTAAGCGCTTTAACCTTTCCTCATAGGGAAAGTGTTCCAACCCTTTTATCATTCGAGTTGCCCTTTTCTGCACTTTTTCCAAAGCTATAATATCCTTTTTAAGGTGTGGTGCCCAGAACTGCACACAGTATTCCAAATGAGGTCTCACCATTGATTTATATAGGGGCATTATTATATTGGCTGATCTGTTTTCAATACCCTTCCTAATAATCCCCAGCATAGCATTGGCCTTCTTTATTGCAGTCACACACTGTCTCGACATTTTCAGTGAGTTATCCACTACAACTCCAAGATCTCTCTCTTGATCTGTCTCTGCCAGTTCAGACCCCATCAATGTGTATTTATATTTAGGATTTTTGGCTCCAATGTGCATCACCTTGCACTTGGCCACATTGAACCCCATTTGCCATGTTGACGCCCACTTGCCCATCTTTGACAGATCCCTTTGGAGTGCCTCACAATCCTCACTGGTTTTCACCACCTTGAACAACTTTGTATCATCCGCAAATTTAGCCACTTCACTGCTTACTCCCATCTCCAAATCATTAATGAACAAGTTAAAAAGCAGTGGACCAAGTACTGATCCCTGCGGTACCCCACTGCTTACCACCCTCCACTGAGAAAATTGCCCACCTACACTCACTCTCTGTTTTCTATGAACTAGCCAGTTTTTGATCCATCTGACATCTAATACCAAATCCATACTCACAAGGATTTTAGTCAGCTTCCATTTTTGAAAGCAGGTTTTTTTTGTTTTAGTTATAACATACCTTTGAATCCCGAAATAACTCCATCTCTGGCCTCCAGATCGTCATCCTGCAAATAGAACAAAACTAATCAGTATCTTGTTAACAACTGCCAAAATAACAATTGCAAAAAACTGGAAAAACAAAAACCCTCCTACAGTGAATCAATGGATCCATATCCATATCCAATGGATATATTCAGGGCTTTTTTTTGTAGAAAAAGCCCAGCAGGAACTCATTAGCATAATTTATTTATTTGCCATACCCAACAGCAGGAACTCATTAGTGTATTAGGACACACCCCTGACTGCACAGCTTATTTGCATATTAGGCCACACCCCCATGTTACCAGAATCCAGCAACACCCATCTTTTGCTTCTTATTTTCTTTAACTTGTTTGTTGTCAAAACCCAGGGCTTTTTTTTTGGAGCAGGAACTCCTTTGCATGTTAGGCCACACCCCTAATTGTAGCCAATCCTAATGAGTTTCTGCTGTTGGGTGTGGCCTATTATGCTAATGAGTTCCTGGTGGGCGTGGCCAACTTGGGAACCAGCCAGAACTCCGTTCCTGTGCGTTCCTGCCCCAAAATAGCCCTGGATATATTTATGCTGGAAAAATTCTCAATTTATGATTCCATGAACCAAAATGAATGCGAATTTTACAACACGTTAAACATATGGTACCCGATCTTAGACAAAATAACTTTACATAAATTTGACTGGGAAAACTTTACTGAAGCAAAATATAAGATAATGCTATACAGCTGAGAATAAAATAGGTTGTGTTGTTTACTCCATTCTACCGTTATTAAAAGTTAACATCAAAATAGTTTAGTTATACGAACTGTTAAATAAAAAGCATCTAACTCTGAAAAAAAATATGAAATTGTTTTTCCAAGCTTGAACCGTCTGCAGTGGCCAGTTTGCCAGGGTCACATAATGGGCACCAGATGTCAGAGGCCAAGCTGGCTATGTACCACTCATGGCTACAAGCAGTGTTCCCTCTAAGCTAAGTTAGTGTGAGCCAGCTCACAGTTTTTTAGCCTCCGGCTCACACATTTTTTTTGTCTCGGGTCAGGAAGGATGGCTCCAGAGCAGACTAATTTATGCAGCAGCCAAATCGCTGGCTCACAACTTTAATGCCAGTATCTCACAAAGTAGAATTTTTTGCTCACAAGACTCCACAGCTTAGAGGGAGCATTGGCTACATTATGGCAGATTAAGGTAGGGATGCCTGGTCCTTACCACGTTCCGACGGGGGGGCGGGGGGGGCTCCAGTCTTCTTCCTGGAGTCTGTCAGGAAACTGTCAGGTTACCATAGAGTTCCCCCCCCCACCAGCACTAGAGCATCCCCCACGCGACGTACCTTGGACGAGGTTGTCACCTCTAGGTGACATCATCACGCCAAGGACATTGGGCACGGATGGAGCTGTTTGGGGTCAGGGCTCCCCAGCTGGCCAGCTGGCCGGCGATGGAGTGGACCCCCCCAAAGGTGGGAGAACCCCCACCTCCATCAGTGGGATGGCAACCGTAGATCAAGGACTCTGAGGCTGAATTCAATCCCCAGTTTGGTGTAGTGGTTAAGTGCGCGGACTCTAATCTGGGACAACGGGGATTGATTCCCCACTCCTCCGCTTGCACCTGCTGATGTGACCTTGGGTCAGTCACAAGCTCTGGCACAGCTGTTCCTGAAAGAGCAGTTTGTGTCAGAGTTCTCTCAGCCCCACCCGCCTCACAGGGTGTCTGTTGTGGGGAGGGGGAGGGAAAGAAGTTTGTAAGCCGCTCTGAGACTCCAAGTGAAGGGCGGGGTATAAATCCAATCTCTCTCTCTCTCTCTCTCGCTCTCTCTCTCTCTCTCTCTCTCTCTCTCTCTCTTGGGAGTTCAGTGCCTGTCACATGTTTTGTCTTTTCAGGGCAAGCTGGACGCCTTGTGGGCTCTGGTTCAGCAAGGCTACGATCAAGTCTCTCTCATGAGACCTCAACCTGGGGATCAGGTAAGGCATCACACAAGTTCCCCTTCATGGCACTTCTGGGTCAAAAGCCAGCCGCTCTGTCTTTCTCATTTTTTCTTCCAGTGGGTGTGGCCTCCCAGAATCTAGTGTATCTGAGGGCCTGATTTGGAAGTCCTACGTCTTTGGGAACTTAGACCGGGAAACCCTGCCGGGTGTTTTTAATGCACATTTTAATAATTTTGTTATCCGAAAAGACAATTAACAAAATATGCCCATATAGCTCAAAAGACAGACAACTGATAAATGTATGGCTTTCGTCTGTGAAAGGGTATGCATTATTTAGTATTATTTCTTAGAAGACGTTTCCATTTTAAGTAAATGAGCTGGAGATCCAAGAGGAATCATGGGGGGGGGGTCAGCTGTAAACACAGATAGGGGAAGGTTCCCCTTGCTCGAAAGCCAGTCGAATCCGACTTTAGGGATGCAGTGCTCATCTCCGTTTCCAAGCCGAAGAGCCAGCGCTGTCCGAAGACATTTCTGCGGTCATGTGGCTGGCATGACTAGACGTCGAGGTGCATGGAATGCTGTTACCTTCCCACTGAAGTGGTACCTATTTATCTACTTGCTCACTTTCGAACTGCTAGGTTGGCAGGAGCTGGGACCAGAGACGGGAGCTCACTCCGTCATGTGGCACTCGGGTCGCGAAATGCTGAACTACAGACCTTCTGGTCTGCAGTTCAGTGTCTTAACCACTTGAGCCACCGCATTAGCCCTGGAAACACAGATACCCCACCCCAAATCTCCCTCTCTTTGATTCTAACCTTTCCGGGCTTCTCGAAGCGGGTTTGCATCTTATGAGGCTGCTCAGGCGGGAGGGCGGAGGGGAAAAGACAGCTTCTTGTGATTAATTTTCGAAATCCTCCTCACATGTAGTTCTCGCAGGCTGAGAACGGCCTGGCTTTGGTGCTTATGGGATGGAGACAGGTTGGAGGCGGTCGCTTTTTTACTAGACACAGTGATCTGTGATAGCGATTTGCATACTAGATTATAGCTCTGTTTGACGTTCTCAGAGGATCCTGCAGGGTTGGAGAGGTAGCGAGGAATTTCACATTACCCTTTTTAACCGTTTTGACGCCGTTTTTGATCCGTCATGGAGTGAACCGGCATAGGGCTGCCATTTCGCACATGGCTTTCCCCTTCCGGTAAAGAGCTGGATCTCAAGTGGTTTGCCATTTCAGACTGCACCGCTTTTTCCCCGCCATTTTTCGTCCATGCGGACGATCTCCAGCCTTTTTTTTTTGAACATTCGCTTTAGAGCGCTATAGCGTTATAGCACTATAACAGAACACTCTAGGCATTTCAATGGGGTTGATATAATACTGTTGCGTTATTGCGTTATAGCGCTATAGCGCTATAATCCTATAAAGCTTACGTTACAAAAAAAAGCCAGAGATCGCCCGCGTGGACGAAAAACGGCGGGAAAAAGCACAGCGGAACCGGGAGAGGAAACTGAAGACTACTTGGAAGTGGTTGACAGGTAAAATGCTTCAGCCCCATTTCCTAAACGGGACAGAAGCGTTTGTGTCTGAAATTACAAATATATTCTGGTAGGGAAACGGTTCTAAAACGGTTCTGTCTGAAATGACAGACCAGAAACCATTTGGGAACCGTTCCTCTTCCGGATTATATCGTCTGTCTGAAATTCCTCAGCGTTTCCCCTGCCAGTTCATCCACCACAAAGCCAGCTGTTCTTCCTTACTGATAATTATAGCTTTCGTCATGCTTTTCAAACCGTTTGTGTGAGAAAGATCTTAAGCTGGTAGGCCGGTGATATCCTTGCTCCTCTCCCCCCCCGTTGACTCCGCCTTCCAGTCCTCCACTGAGGAGCTCATTTTTAAGGACAAGTGTTATACTTCTGTCACAAAGGACCCCCCCTCCTGCCCAAGCTTGCCTTCGGAGTTTGATTTTAAAGATCTAAAAGGTACGTGCTGTTCAGACCCGTGACATTGTAATAGTTGATTTGTAAATTTGTTAATTAAGAAGAAAAGATACTAGCTTTATACCCTGCCCTTCACTCGGAGACTCAGAGCGGCTTACAATCTCCTTTCCCTTCCCCTCCCCACAACAGACACCTGTGAGGTAGGTGGGGCTGAGAGAGCTCTTTTGAGGACTGCTCTTGAGAGAACAGCTCTGAGAGAACTCGTGACTGACCCACGGTCTCACCAGCAACTGCATGTGAAGGAGTGGGGAATCAAACCTGGTTTTCCCCGATTAGAGTCCGCGCTCCTAACCGGTACGCCAAACCGGCTCCTAACTGGAGAAAGTCATGTTGAATCTTGTCCCATCGAGTTAACCTCTTTCTTCAGATGACCCCCCTGACAACATTGGTCCAGGTTGGGGTATCTTCAGCAGTGGTGGTCAACGCGAGGAGTCCCTTCGGCTCCGCTACGGTCTTCCCGTCCAACTTCAGTACTGCTTTCTTGGTAGTTTGTCATCTTATGGTCCAGCCACTTTCTAGGGCAGTGATGGCGAACCTTTTAGAGACCCGAGTGCCCAAACTGCGACCCAAAACCCACTTATTGATCGCATAGTGCCAACACGGCCATTTAACCTGAATACTGAGTTTTTACTTTAGAAAAAAACAACTCATACATTAACTTAAGACGATCCAAACAAAGTAAGGAAAGCAATCCCAAATGCTTTCATTTACTTAAAATGAGTTGGCAGAGAATTCGACACTTTAATGATGGTCTGGGCCTGGCTGGGGCGATGGTACGTGTGCCCACTGAGAGGGCTCTGAGTGCCACCTCTGGCACCCGTGCCATAGGTTTGCCACCACTGCTCTAGGGGGACTCATTGTTGTCCACTTGCAGCTGTTCTGCCCGAACAGGTTTGGCTTCCTCGTTTGAGTAGGACTTCCGCTTTGTCAAGGCAGCCCCTCCTGCCTTTCCCGATTGCCTGGCCTTTGCTCATGAGCCACGCTGCCCTCCTCGGTATCCCGCCTTTCCCAGTGGCTCAGGCCTCTTAAAGAGATCTTCCTCTCTCTTTCGCCTGCGTTCAACGAATTCCCTCGTTTTTGAGAAGATTCCTGTTTTGATTTTTCTGAGCAGCTTCCCGCTTTGTTGTTGTTGTTCAGTCGCACAGTCGAGTCCGACTCTCCGCGACCCCATGGACCAGGTCACGCCAGGCCTTCCGGTCTTCCGCCGTCCTCTGAAGTTGGCTCAATTTCATGTTCGCTGCATCTATGACACTGTCCAACCATCTCATCCTTTGCCGTCCCCGTCTTCTTTGACCTTCAAACTTTCCCAGCATCAGGGTCTTCTTCTCCAGGGAGTGCTCCCTTCTCATTGGGTGGCCAAAGTATCTGAGCTTCAGTTTCATTATCTGGCCTTCCAGGGAACAGTCAGGGTTGATTTCTTTTAGGATTGACTGAGTTTATCTTCTTGCAGTCCAAGGGACTCAAGACTTCCCACTTAGACGCATGTAAAATTTGAGAACATTGGTCTCTCTTCCGAGCAGACTCAAGAACGCATCTTGTACCAGACCCAGGACTGGCTGCCCTGAGGACCAGTCGCACACCACGTTCTGTCTCTTTTTTGCCGTTTACCATCCTAGTCTGAGGGGCCTCCATTGTTATAAGTTCCCACTGGCAGATTCCCCATTTCTTTTTTTCTTGTATTTTTTCCCATCTGTGCATGTGTGTGTGTGTGCACTTGGATGTCATGGCGACCTCTGGTGACCGACCCCTTACTGGGGGCCTGGAGGATATTCAGAGTGGTGGCAGAGTAAAGCCTGCCCCCGCCTCCCGACTGCTGGTATTCCAAGGAGGTCTCCCATCCCAGTACTTGCCAGAGTTGGCCCTGCTTAGCTTCCGAGATCTGACGAGATCCGGCTTGCCAGGTCAAGGCACCGTTTGTTTTTCTGTGTCTCAAGATCCCCATCAGAAGTGTGCTCAGTTGTATAATGCTGTGTCCATAAACAGATGCGATATCACAGTATACAATACACAGAAAGCAAGCAAGCGCTGTGCAAATAACGCAGACCACAAGTGCTCAAAAAGTCATCCAAAAAGAGTAAATTTATATAACAAGAATAATAAAAAGGTAAAGGTTCCCTTGCTCAAAAGCCAGTCGAGTCTGACTCTAGGGTTGCGGTGCTCATCTCCGTTTCAAAGCCGAAGAGCCAGTGCTGTCCGAAGACGTTTCCGTGGTCATGTGGCGGGCATGACTAAACACCAAGGCGCACGGAACGCTGTTCCCTTCTTCCCACCGAAGTGGTACCTATTTATCTACTTGCAATTTCTTGCTTTTGAACTGCTAGGTTGGCAGGAGCTGGAACTAGAGACGGGAGCTCACTCCGTCATGCGGCACCCGGGTCTCGAACTGCTGAACTACCGACCTTCCACAGCCTGCAGTTCAGCGTCTTAACCACTTGAGCCACCGCAGCTCCTTAACAAGAATAATAGAGGACCACATATATATATAAAACCAAATTACATCATTACCGACTATTGGAGAGTTTGTTCTATTGTTGATCTGGTGCCCGGCTTTGAATGATTATAATAGGATTGAGTTTTTTCCTGTAATACTGGTCTGAAGGCTTTTATACACTGTGAGTGCTGTGCTAAGGATTTTTCCTTCTACATATACCATTTTAAAGTCTCCTGTACATTATGAGTACTTCATGAAGTAGTGTGAACTTCTTGAAGAAGAGCTATCGAAACGAAGATCAAAATCCGGAGTCTTCGTCTTTGTCTGTGTAACATTCATGGACTTGCATTTCGTCTGTGTACCATTTATGGATTTGCATTAGTCATGGACCTGTACATTATATGGTGTAATTTGGTTTTACTGATATATGTGGTCCTCTATTATTCTTGTTATATAAATTTACTCTTTTTGCATGACCTTTTGAGCACTTGTGGTCTGCGTTATTTGTATAATGCTGTGTCCTCCAGCAGGTCTTTCCACCCACTGTGAGTCTGTGCGAGACTTTATTGTGCTTGATGGTGCCATCTGCAGCCAAGTTACACCTATCTAAGT